GAAGAAACAAGGAATATCATCTGTTTTTTTAAACCATCATTTCGCGAGAAGGTCTACGGTAAATGAAATGACGTTGACAGAAAATACAATCTATCAATAATTCAAAATGCAGACTGGAGTTTTAGAACTATTTGTAGACCATTATTTTTACTTTGAACTATTTACGGATTTTCCCTTTTGCCCTTTCATGATAAGGGGCACAGGGCGATTATGAAAAGTTGGCAGATGTCTTCTACATGATTCCACATCTGATGTTTTAGGTCCGTGGTTGTTCTGTTCTGGATTCTAATTGTTTCCACATACTTTTGAGCTTGTAACATAATACTCTCTTTTAAAACATAGAGTTTTAAAACTTAAGGTAATGATGTTAGAGAATATTCACCTTTAACATGAAGAAAATTGATAATATAAGGGTTATGTCTCGTACTGTAGCTTGATAATTTTAAGTTTTATTGCAAGAAAAATGTGACCATGTGTGAGCTTAGAAAGTGCGCGGAGCTGTGTACCCATCCGTTTAGAAGCTCAGTATTAGCTTTCAGCTAAATATATGTAATATCAAGTCATCCAATGTGCATAAAAGGAGCATAAAACCCACTGTTTTAACTTAAACAATAAAATGGTTCTGCTTTTGTTCAATACATATCAATAAATATTAATATTTAAAAAAAATAAAACCCGAGAAAGCTGGTTATATATTTGCTGCTATATTAATTCCCAAAATTTTATTGTTTATTTATATGCCGTTTTAAGTCAGAATGTAAAATAGGAGTATGTGAATTGCTGATATGTCTGCCATTGTATGTTTTCTTGATGGGAGAAGAACAGCTAAATATCTGTACAGCTGGCTTGTTCAGCAGCGTTAAGGTTTTGATAAAGAACCATGGATTTTTTAAGCAATATCAGCTGCATATGATGTCGGAATTTCTTTGTAAATTGTATATAACTATTTCAGTGACAGAAAAAAGAACGCTTCTTTTGATAATATTTGCGATTGAAGAACTATTTACTGGCTGCTTTGATTGAGTCAAAATCATGTTAATTTAATAAATACTGGATATTCTTATACATATAATTCGTTTTTCTGTAACAATTTAATCTTTATCCTAGTCTGATTGATCATAAAGGTTTAAATTACATACAAATTTATCATAATTTGGCATTTAAACAGCAAAATATATATAATAAAACTTTCAAAACTGCTTATTATTATGCTTTAAGAAAAATGATGTAATGATCGTTTGATGAAAATATATAAATTTTTTTCGACATCTTCAAGGAAACTTTTTAACAGACTCCAAGTGATTTCATTATCATTCCAGAAAGGATTGATGGATTGTCGGTTGCTTTTTTGACATTTGACATCTTTTAAATAAGAACAAAAAATATTCTTGATACATAGGATAACTTTGGTTCGAATAAGATAAAAGTATTTCCTAAGAGAACAAGAGGCCCACGGGCCTTATAGGTCACCTGAGTATCATGTAACAACTTTCCAACAATTGAATTTGGTTCTGTTTTAAACCAGAGGCCATAAAATTCACAATTTTGAAAAAGGCACCATTGCTTGTCATAATTATAAACTTAGCATGCTTACTCTATTTACTTATTACCCAGAGGTAGATCAGAGTAAAAAAGAGAAAATGCACTTCCACTTTATAAACAGTTGTGCACCCCACCCCAAAGGAACCACTTACCCTGGAGCCATGAAATTCACAATTTCAGAATAGGAACTCTTGCTCATCATAACTATGTACTTAGTTAGTTTATTAAAATACACAGGGGCAGAGAAGATTTTTAAAGAATTAATGCATTTTCACTATATAATCCATACAGCCCCGCCCTAACACCAGAACCTCTGATCCTCGGGCCATGAAATTCACAATTGTGGAGTAGGCACTCTTGCTCATCATAACTATGCACTTACTAGTAGTAAGTTTATTCAGGAGCTACTCAGCTACTCAGGAGCAGAGAAAAAGATTTTCACAGAATTAATGCATTTTCACTATATAATCAAATAGAGCCACCCTAACACAGAACCCCTGACCCCGGGGGCATGAAATTCACAATTGTGGAATAGGCACTCTTGCTCATCATAACTATGTACTTAGTTAGTTTATTTAATACCCAGGAGCAGAGAAGAAGATTTTCAAAGAATTAATGCATTTTCACTATATAATTAATAGAGCCCCGCCCTAACACCAGAACCCCTGACCCTGGGGCCATGAAATTCACAATTGTGGAATAGGCACTCTTACTCATCATAACCATGTAGTATTTAGTTAGTTTATTTAATACCCAGGAGCAGAGAAGAAGATTTTAAAAGAAATAATGCATTTTCACTATATAATCTATATAGCCCGCCCTGACACCAGAACCCCTGACCCTGGGGCCATGAAATTCACAATTGTGGAATAGGCACTCTTGCTCATCATAACTATGTACATAGTTAGTTTATTTAATACCCAGGAGCAGAGAAGAAGATTTCGAAGAATTAATGCATTTTCACTATATAATCAATAGAGCCCCAGCCTAACACCAGAACCTCTGACCCTGTGGCCATGAAATTCATAATTGTGGAATAGGCACTCTTGCTCATCATAACTATGTACTTAGTTTATTTAATACCAAGGAGCAGAGAAGAAGATTTTCAAAGAAACAATGCATTTTTCCTATGTAATCTATATATCCCCGCCCTAGCACAAGAACCCCCTGACCCTGGGGCCATGAAATTCAAAATTTTGGTAGAGGACTCAATGGTCATGATAACTTTGTACTTAGTTAGTTTATTTAATACCCCAGAGCAGAGGAGAAATTTTTTTAAAAAATAATGCATTTTCACTGAATAATCTATATAGCCCCGCCCTAGCACTAGAACCCCTGACCCTGGGACCAAGAAATTCACAAATTTGGAAGAGACCAATGGTCATAGCATTCATGCTAACAGTTTGCCTGCTCGATGTCCAGGAGTAAAGAAGAAGATTTTTAAAGATTTCATTAATTTTAGTGGTTTTGGCCCCACCCCTCAGGCCCCAGGGGGGGGGGGGCGGGGACCATGAAATTCACAATTTTTGTTCCCCTTCATCCATAGATGCTGTATACCAAATTTGGTTGAAATTGGTTGAGTGGTTGCAGAGAAGAAGCTGAAAATGTTCAAATGTTAACACACGACACACGACGGACGACGACGGACGAAAACGGATAGCAATGGGTCGAATAAAGTGAGATATATAAACTCCGTATGCTGGTGATGAAGGTATATTGCTATATATAAGTAAGGGAAGTTGACGATTGAAAAGTTAAAGTCATCAGTTTTTTCATTGAGCTTGTTTTTTAGATTACTATTAACGTCATTTTCAATATCCAAACATGAAACAGATGTGTAAGATTCTGTGTTATCTTTTATCTCAAGCTCACTGGTGTATATCTTATCGACATAAGAATGGAAATAGCCATTGTTATTGACAATACGTCATCGATATATCTAAATGTCTAGTTGAAGTCACCACTTAAAAGAACTGTATATATTTCAAAAGGGAAAAATTCATATTTTTTCTTCTAAAAACCTTCATCAACAAAATAGAGCTCCCCACTTAATATCCTCATTGAATTGAATTTAATGGCGCAGTTTCTTTTTTTTTTTTTTATTTCATTGCATGATTTTATTTGCATTACAGAATCAAGAATTAATGTTAGAACGTAAGAAATAAATCAGAATTTATTTATTTTCAAAATCTTTGTGAATAGTGATTGTTTGATTGTTGTTTTATATCCTTTGCAGAAGATTTTTTAAACGCCTACTCAGACATGTGGCCTCGGATTTTAAGGTCTTATCCAAGGGAGCATCGGCTTTCACATTTCACAGTGCTGGGTGCATAACAAAGGCAAATTCATTTTCTGTTGTTTACGTATTAAATTTTACGAAAATCGCACACGTACGTTACATTCCATTGCCCTACCACTAGGCTATCACAACGGTCATTCGTTGTAGAAAGAACTATTATAAAAAAAAAACAATAACCATTTTTGCAACAAAAATATATTTGATAAATTAACAGCAAACGGGATAAATATTGCATGAACTTGTAAACATTAACGGAATAATTAGAGTTCATAAAACAATCAGCGTTCTCTCTTCAATTATCTTCTTGCCCCATTACTATTCCAAGACCTGTAAAATAAAAGTGAAAGATTAAAGTAAATAGTATATCATTTTTTTCAACAAATGTATTTTTGACATAAAATAGCGCAAAATGAATGTGAAGTTTCGGCGTATTAAATATTTATGTATTTATATTATAGAGAATTTATCACTGATTCTTCTCTGCAATCTACAATCTGAAATAAGAAAAAAATATTAATCTCCCGTTAACATGGTTAAAGTTATAGGTATTATGCATGTACAAATAAATAGAAATAATTAAACAATAACTTATTATTCAACATATAATAACATGTATAGAATTTCAAAAATAAACAAACAGAAATGAACATATAACAAATATAAAACATTCACACTCTTTCACTCATCTTTACAAAACATTATCAAATTAAATAATAACATAATAAGGAAAACAAAATAAAATGATTAAAAGCTGAATTACATAATTCTTTATTTTGTTTCAATTTTTCATTAATAGAATACTTCAGATAAAACATTTATCACAGCATCCTTTCTGCATAAATAAAAGTAAAGAAAACATTTATACTTACTAATGATGGGACTGAAACGCAAATTAAAAAGATTAATGAATAATTTGTTCATTTTTTCTCAAATAAATGCAACATACTTTCATTTGTCTCAGCTCTGCAAAGGGGGATATAAGTCCAGTTCTGTTTTCTTCGAAATTCATAAGGTTTGTTTTATCATAATGATTTTAACTAATTAGTAAACTTTGCATAATTGATGAAGAAGTAAAGAGAAATACAAAAAACATTGTGTAAACATATACGTACATGCAAGCCACTGTATGATTGATAAATTCTTGACAACTATATCCTACATCACATGCTCCTTGTGAGTTCACAACAGCGCATCCATCAGATGAGTTTGTGATAATAACTACAAAGGAACAGAATCAACATCTATATCGTAAGTATGTTCAAAGTTAATTAAATAGATAACAGTTGTACGCATGTATCATATAAATTTGATGATGTAAGAGGTGAATCAAGTTAAGAAGATTTTATCAAGAAAAAACTCTTTCCCACTGTAAAAATGTGTATTGAAAACACTGTATAAAACTTATTACTCTCTCCGTATGTTGAATGCTGTATTGTAGCACTGGTAATGGTGACTATTTCTCCCGAGAAGTTGACAAATACTAGACCATTCACAAGCTTGTACACGGTGTCAACGACGAGTACTTTTGATGTTGGGCTGTCTGGTATGACGAGGTCAAAGTCAACAATTAAGCTTCCCTTTCTTTTAAATAAACATATGATGTCTTATATAAAATATTCGGAACGAAAAAATATATAAATATAAATGTTTTTAAAGGGGAATGGACATAGTTTCGTCTAAAATTTCAAAGGACAAGATAGGGTAAGACCCTTACTTGGCCCCAGTTTTTTGAGTATCTTTCAGAATGATCTAAGAGTTCATCCAAAAAAAAACCTCTTGTCACCTCTGCCACAATTACGGATATAGGGAAGTAATTCCATAGGTCACAGTGACTGCGTTATAACTTATAGCTTTTACTGTGTAATTTTAAATAACAATACCATTGTGGGGTGGGGATAAATACCACATCCTTTCATATATACACATTTTGAAAAAAAAAACAAATAAAAACATACTGCTTTACAAACATACCTCATGCTTTTTATTATGACTTTTGATCCAACGATTCTTTTACTGTAAACATCAGTTAACTATAAAATATAATAAGATGAATGTTTGTTATAAAAATAATGTTAAATAATTCGTTCAAAAAAAATTCAAAAGAGACAAAAATACCAACCGCTTCTTGAACTTTATTCTTTACTTTGTTATAATCTTCTTCTATGCTCAGATTTGCTGTCGTTGTTACATCAAGATTCAAGACAAGCTTATATTTCATTAAATTTGATTCTTCAGAAAAAAAAAAATGTAAAATGGTCAAAAAAATCCCCAAAAGAGAAACATATTTTGAAGTTGTCATTCAAAAACATATTTGAGGTGCAAATGATGAGGATAGTACTCAAATACATTTCATTCGGCTGATAAGAATAAATTTAAATATACGGTATCAATTATATTTGCATTCTTAAAATTTTTAAAAGTAAAAATCCTGCTATTCCACCTACTTGTAGAGCAATCTGTACCATTGAATTCAACATCACACTGACATTCGTACTCATTGACCAAGTCAACACAGGTTCCATTGTTCTGACAAGGCAATGAAGCGCACTCATCGACATCTATACAATTAAATCATAAGAATTTTCCCGAAAGTCCGTATTCTAAGTATTTGCAAGATAAATTTCGTTGCACAATATTATAATCTATAAGGAGATATTACAAGAATTTTTTGGGGGGCAATTTTGAGTAAAGTTTTACTCTTTATTTTAAAAATCTTACCATTTGTACAATTAGTGTCATTGAATCCCGCAGCACAGTTACACTGGTAATCATTGATGAGATCAAGGCATGTCCCGTTGTTCTGACATGGATTTTCAGCACATTCATCAATATCTGTAAGAATTTTTTCTTACGTTTATACCTCTCAAAAAAGGATATTACGTGTTCTGTTGCTGACAAGTAGATTTATAACTACGTATTTCACTTTATTATATTATCAAAAAGTTTTGTTATTAAACAGAAAATTGACAGCCATGTAAAATCTAAAATGTGAACAATAGTTTCATTTGTCTAAGGTTCATTGATTTACTTACTCTCCTCACAGTTTGTTCCATTAAATCCTGCCTCACAAGTGCAGTTGTAATCATTGATGAGGTCCTCACATGTTGCATTGTTTTGACAAGGATTTTCTGCACATTCATCCATATCTGTTACAAATAAAATGCATAAGATATGATCTAGAGATAGAGAGTATTCAATGGTTTGCAATATTGGACAGAATCAGTCATTTCATTCACTACTGGTAAGGGGTTTCTAAAACTTTCATGTGATGGTTTGCAACTGGAGATCGGTAATCTATTTCAGCACTGGCAAAGGATTTTAAAATGTTCACGAGACTTTGAAAATGAAGGTGTGTAGTTCTCAAGCCCGGAAGAAATTGATTGCACCACTGAAAAAGACTTCTTTCATGGAACATATGGAGATAACGAACAGTATTCAAGATCAAAAGTCAGTAAAACAATACGAAATGGGAGCACAGCAAACACGGCCCTCCAAAACATCAGATGTGGGATCAGGTCATGATATTGATCAAGAAAAATCTCGAGTAATGAGTGAGTGAGGTGAGAGCAGTATCGTTAAGGATATTGTCAGGAGATATTAAGGAGCAGACGGATAATTCAGGGGACACCAGAAAGGGGTCAGGTTAAACAGGGGTTAGGTCAAGGCACGTCAAAGTGTATAATACTTTCAAAATATCTTTGTTCGTGGTAGAATACATAGACTGGTATGAGTCTTCAGACTTCAAGAGTTCTGAGATAAATATTAAAATACTAGTGTAACTTGAATGAAGTCTAAAAGATAAAATATATCTTCCAGAAAAAATCAACATTTCCTTGAAATAAAAAACATGCTTTGTTATATATACTCACTGTTTGTACAATTAGTGTCATTAAATCCTGCAGCACAGTTACATTGGTAATCATTGATGAGATCAAGGCATGTCCCATTGTTCTGACATGGATTTTCAGCACATTCATCAATATCTGTAACAGATGCTCTTTGTTAAGCATAACTGATTTTAAACTAGTTTTATTCACCGTCATTTCATATCATTTTCATTGACTTACCTTCCTCGCAATTGGTTCCATTAAATCCTGGAGCACAGCTACACTCATAATCATTGATGAGATCCGCACATGTTCCATTGTTCTGACAAGGACTATCGGCGCATTCATCAATATCTGTCAAAAAAGTCTTTCATGTAATCCCAACTTTCACTTATACAAAGGATAGCCAATGTTCTTAAGCATTGACGTTTCAGAATTCGCAGAGTTGTGATATCTAAAATGTTATCTAAAGTTTCATTTGTCTTAGGTTCATTAATTTACTTACTCTCCTCACAGTTTGTTCCATTGAATCCTGCAACACAACTGCAGTTGTAATCATTGATGAGGTCCACACATGTTGCATTGTTTTGACAAGGATTTTCTGCACATTCATCTATATCTGTAACAAATGAAATGCATAAGATAGGATTAAGAGATAAAGAATATTCAATGCTTTGCAATATTGAGTCGAATCAGTCATTTCATTCACTACTGGTAAAGAATTTCTAAAATTTTCAAGTGATAGTTTGCAATTGGATCGGTAACTTATTTCACCACTGGCAAAGGATTTTAAAATGATCACGAGACTTTGAAAATGAAGGTGTGTAGTTTTCAAGCCCGGAAGAAATTAACTGCATGACTGAAAAAGATTTCTTTTATGGAACATATGGAGATAACGAACAGTATTCAAGATCACAAGTCCGTAAAACAATACAAAATGGGAGCAAAGCAAACACGGCCCTCCAAAACATCAGATGTTGGATCACGTTATGATATTGATCAAGAAAAATCTCAAGTAATGACTAAGTGAGAGCAGTGTCGTAAAGGATATTGTCAGGAGATGTTCAGGAATAGACGGATAATTCAGGGGACGCCAGAAAGTGGTCAGGTTAAACAGGGATTAGGTCAAGGCGCGTCAATGGGGAGAATACTTTTAGATTATCTTTGTCTGTGGTGGAATACACAGACTGGTGTAAGACGTCAGACTTCAAGATATCTGAGATTAGGATTAAAATACTAGTATAACTTGAATGAACTCTAAAAGATAAAATATATCTTCCAGAAAAAGTCAACATTTCCTTGAAATAAAAAAAAAAACATGTTTGGTTATATATACTCACTGTTTGTACAATTAGTGTCATTGAATCCTGCAGCACAGTAACATTGGTAATCATTGATGAGATCAAGGCATGTCCCATTGTTCTGACATGGATTTTCAGCACATTCATCAATATCTGTAACAGATGCTCTTTGCTAAGCATAACTGATTTTAAACTAGTTTTATTCACCGTCATTTCATATCATTTTCATTGACTTACCCTCCTCGCAATTGGTTCCATTAAATCCAGGAGCACAGCTACACACATAACCATTGATGAGGTCCGCACATGTTCCATTGTTCTGACAAGGACTATTGGTGCATTCATCAATATCTGTAAAAAAGTCTTTCATGTAATCCCAACTTTCACTTATACAAAGGATAACCAATGTTCCTAAGCATTGATGTATTAGAATTCGCAGAGTTGTGATATCTAAAATGTGATCTCAAGTTTTATTTTGTCTTAGGTTCATTAATTTACTTACTCTCCTCACAGTTTGTTCCATTGAATCCTGCAACACAACTGCAGTTGTAATCATTGATGAGGTCCACACATGTTGCATTGTTTTGACAAGGATTTTCTGCACATTCATCGATATCTGTTAAAATGAAATGCATAAGATAGGATTAAGAGATAAAGAATATTCAGTGGTTTGCAATATTGAATCGAATCAGTCATTTCATTCACTACTGGTAAAGAATTTCTAAAACTTTCAAGGGATTGTTTGCAATTTAATCGGTAACTTCTTTCACCACTGGCAAAGGATTATAAAAAGATCACGAGACTTTGAAAATGAAGGTGTGTAGTTTTCAAGCCCGAAAGAAATGGATTGCACGACTGATAAAGACTTCTTTCATGGAACATATGGAGATAACGAACAGTATTCAAGATCACAAGTCCGTAAAACAATACAAAATGGGAGCAAAGCAAACACGGCCCTCCAAAACATCAGATGTTGGATCACGTTATGATATTGATCAAGAAAAATCTCAAGTAATGACTAAGTGAGAGTAGTGTCGTAAAGGATATTGTCAGGAGATGTTCAGGAATAGACGGATAATTCAGGGGACGCCAGAAAGTGGTCAGGTTAAACAGGGATTAGGTCAAGGTACGTCAATGGGGAGAATACTTTTAGATTATCTTTGTCTGTGGTGGAATACACAGACTGGTGTAAGACGTCAGACTTCAAGATATCTGAGATTAGGATTAAAATACTAGTATAACTTGAATGAACTCTAAAAGATAAAATATATCTTCCAGAAAAAGTCAACATTTCCTTGAAATAAAAAAAACATGCTTGGTTATATATACTCACTGTTTGTACAATTAGTGTCATTGAATCCTGCAGCACAGTAACATTGGTAATCATTGATGAGATCAAGGCATGTCCCATTGTTCTGACATGGATTTTCAGCACATTCATCAATATCTGTAACAGATGCTCTTTGCTAAGCATAACTGATTTTAAACTAGTTTTATTCACCGTCATTTCATATCATTTTCATTGACTTACCCTCCTCGCAATTGGTTCCATTAAATCCAGGAGCACAGCTACACTCATAACCATTGATGAGGTCCGCACATGTTCCATTGTTCTGACAAGGACTATTGGTGCATTCATCAATATCTGTAAAAAAGTCTTTCATGTAATCCCAACTTTCACTTATACAAAGGATAACCAATGTTCCTAAGCAATGATGTATTAGAATTCGCAGAGTTGTGATATCTAAAATGTGATCTCAAGTTTTATTTTGTCTTAGGTTCATTAATTTACTTACTCTCCTCACAGTTTGTTCCATTGAATCCTGCAACACAACTGCAGTTGTAATCATTGATGAGGTCCACACATGTTGCATTGTTTTGACAAGGATTTTCTGCACATTCATCGATATCTGTTAAAATGAAATGCATAAGATAGGATTAAGAGATAAAGAATATTCAGTGGTTTGCAATATTGAATCGAATCAGTCATTTCATTCACTACTGGTAAAGAATTTCTAAAACTTTCAAGGGATTGTTTGCAATTTAATCGGTAACTTCTTTCACCACTGGCAAAGGATTATAAAAAGATCACGAGACTTTGAAAATGAAGGTGTGTAGTTTTCAAGCCCGGAAGAAATGGATTGCACGACTGATAAAGACTTCTTTCATGGAACATATGGAGATATCGAACAGTATTCAAGATCACAAGTCCGTAAAACAATACAAAATGGGAGCAAAGCAAACACGGCCCTCCAAAACATCAGATGTTGGATCACGTTATGATATTGATCAAGAAAAATCTCAAGTAATGACTAAGTGAGAGTAGTGTCGTAAAGGATATTGTCAGGAGATGTTCAGGAATAGACGGATAATTCAGGGGACGCCAGAAAGTGGTCAGGTTAAACAGGGATTAGGTCAAGGTACGTCAATGGGGAGAATACTTTTAGATTATCTTTGTCTGTGGTGGAATACACAGACTGGTGTAAGACGTCAGACTTCAAGATATCTGAGATTAGGATTAAGATACTAGTATAACTTGAATGAACTCTAAAAGATAAAATATATCTTCCAGAAAAAGTCAACATTTCCTTGAAATAAAAAAAACATGCTTGGTTATATATACTCACTGTTTGTACAATTAGTGTCATTGAATCCTGCAGCACAGTAACATTGGTAATCATTGATGAGATCAAGGCATGTCCCATTGTTCTGACATGGATTTTCAGCACATTCATCAATATCTGTAACAGATGCTCTTTGTTAAGCATAACTGATTTTAAACTAGTTTTATTCACCGTCATTTCATATCATTTTCATTGACTTACCTTCCTCGCAATTGGTTCCATTAAATCCAGAAGCACAGCTACACTCATAACCATTGGTGAGATCCGCACATGTTCCATTGTTCTGACAAGGACTATTGGTGCATTCATCAATATCTGTAAAAAAGTCTTTCATGTAATCCCAACTTTCACTTATACAAAGGATAACCAATGTTCCTAAACATTGATGTATCAGAATTCGCAGAGTTGTGATATCTAAAATGTGATCTCAAGTTTCATTTTGTCTTAGGTTCATTAATTTACTTACTCTCCTCACAGTTTGTTCCATTGAATCCTGCAACACAACTGCAGTTGTAATCATTGATGAGGTCCACACATGTTGCATTGTTTTGACAAGGATTTTCTGCACATTCATCGATATCTGTTACAAATGAAATGCATAAGATATGATTAAGAGATAAAGAATATTCAGTGGTTTGCAATATTGAATCGAATCAGTCATTTCATTCACTACTGGTAAAGAATTTCTAAAACTTTCAAGGGATTGTTTGCAATTGGATCGGTAACTTCTTTCACCACTGGCAAAGGATTATAAAAAGATCACGAGACTTTGAAAATGAACTGATTTTTACTAGTTTTATTCACCGTCATTTCATATCATTTGACTTACCTTCCTCGCAATTGGTTCCATTATATCCAGGAACACAGCTACACTCATAACCATTGATAAGATCCGAACATGTTCCATTGTTCTGACAAGGACTATTGGCGCATTCATCAATATCTGTAAAAACGTCTTTCTTGTAATCCCAACTTTCACTTGTACAAAGGATAACCAATGTTCTTAAGCATTGACGTATCATAATTTTCAGAGTTGTGATATCTGTGTGATCTAAAGTTTCATTTTTCTTAGGTTCATTAATTTACTTACTCTCCTCACAGTTTGTTCCATTAAATCCTGCAACACAACTGCAGTTGTAATCATTGATGAGATCCACACATGTTGCATTGTTTAGACACGAACTTTCTGAACATTCATCAATATCTGTAATGAATATCATGTATATAAGAGATGACTTTGAAAAAGAGAATATTCCATGGTTGCTATAGAGTATACAGTATGTAATTTTCTTGTCAACAGTATCAGGTGCAGAGCAAGTTAGTCAAAAATTTATACTTTTATGAATGCAAAGAACAGTAGTGAAATTTTTAAGGATTCTCTTTTATGAATGAGATAAATTCTTATTTTTATATCCAACTTATTAACATTGATTTTTTTGTAAACAGCATTCCTTTCCTTTTACTTTTCATGAAAATTTCAAAGTGGCACTGTAGGTGAACACTTGTGAGACCTTCTTGCTAAGCAATTGTAAGACTGAAGGCTAGATTGAAGGTTGAAAATTTTAGATATGTTATTAGACAAAATATGACTGTTTAATCTCTCTCTCTCCCAACTCAGGCTTGAAGCCTTGATATGTGGGTTGGGGGATTTTTTGTCCAAGAAAATTTCAGTATCAATGTGAAATTTAAAGAGATATTTTAAAAAAATGTCTTGTTCTTGCAGGTCTAACAAGATTTTTTGACAGTAAGTCGGAAGTGTGCGACACATCTTCAAAGATTGCCCTGTCTTAATGAGCTTTAAGAAAATATCATTCAAATGGTTTAACTATCCAAAATGTATTATTTATTATTCTCTTTTATACACTTACTGTTTGTACAATTAGTGTCATTGAATCCTGCAGCACAGTTACATTGGTAATCATTGATGAGATCAAGGCATGTTCCATTGTTCTGACATGGATTTTCAGCACATTCATCAATATCTGTAAAAAATACTCTAGGTTAAGTGTGACTAATTCTGAAAATGGTTTGATAAATCGTACTTTAATATTATTTTGATTTATTTACCCTCTTCGCAATTGGTTCCATTAAATCCAGGAAAACAGTTACACTCATACCCATTGATGAGGTCCACACACGTTCCATTGTTCTGACAAGGACTATCAGAACATTCATCAATATCTGTAAAAACTTCTTTTATTCAAACGTTTCTCTCTCTCTCTTATTTCAAAGGATATTAAATGTTCTGAAGCATAAGCATTCCAAAATAATACACCGGTATACAAATTTAAAAATATCTCTTGATGAATAAACAATTTACAGTGTTGTGTTATCTGAAATTAGATGAATAGAATCAGTTGTCTTAATTTCAAAAATTTACGTACTCTCTTCACAGATTGTTCCATTAAATCCTGCCTCACAACTGCAATTGTAATCATTGATGAGGTCCACGCATGTTCCATTGTTTTGACAAGGATTTCCACCACACTCATTAATATCTGTAAAATATACAGCAAAAGACAGGAAATTAAAATACAGAATATTCAATGTTTTGCAATTTGATTGTTAATTTATTTCACTACAGGGACAGGCTTTCACGAAGGTACATCACGTGACCCTAGTTAAGAAAAAAAGGAAGTTTTGACTAATCAAGTTTAGGGTCATCGGGGTTTCAGTCAAGGGAAATTGATATCAGTGAAAAGACAGGAAAGTCAGAGAATTTCAAGGAACATCAGAAAGTAGACAAGAGTAACAAGGGTTTGGTGAGATGACGTCAAAGGAAGAAATGGTAGACATGAGGTTATAGTAAAAATTCTGGAAGAAAGATGAAAATAGCAACGGTTTTTTTTTTATTTAAGACAAAAACATTTCGGTTGTGACAGTAGGAAACTTTAATGAATGCAAAGCACAGTACTGAAAATTTCATTATATCCTTTCCTACTGGTAAAAAAATTTCTTAATGAGCAAAATACTTGTGAATAACATTTTTTTCTCCCTCTATATTGTAATTGCTTCACTCCATTCATGACAAAATATCGTAGACTTTTGCACGATAGTATGAAGAGACATTCTTTTATATTTACAAAAAGATTGAACTTTGAAAACAAAGATTTTAATATATCGTCAATAAATCTTAAAAGATATCTCTTTAAAGAAGCAATCTTTCCTTAGAAAAACCGTGTTTCTTGATCTCTTATACTCTTAGTGTATGTACGGTTAGTGTCATTGAATCCTGCAACACAGTTACATTCGTAATTATTGATCAGATCAAGGCATGTTCCATTGTTCTGACATGGATTTTCAACACATTCATCAATATCTGTAAATATTTAATGCAAGAAATTTGTAAATAAGGAACGATAATGAAAAAAAAATACCCGAAGAGGTTAAAATATTAATGATTAACAAAATGCTTCAGATATTTCCTAAAAAAAACAACATTTCATACATTAATTCCAATGTAACATTTAACATATCATCTTTGTTTTCATATTAGATATTCCATGATGTCTCAAGATGAATTCATTTTTTTTAAAGGATTTTAGATATTTGAATACTCGTTTTATATTATCATCGCTAAGTTATTATTAAATTTTACGTTTTATGGTATACATTTTACCTTATGAATAGTTTTGTTAAATTCACTTACTCACTGTTTGTACAGTTCATATCATTAAATCCAGAAACGCAGTCACATCGATATCTATTAAATATATCTAAAGCTAGGTGTATATTATATTATGTTAGAGTATAGGCGTATAGAATATGGTTTTTAAAACCTTTATCAGTCTACTAACATTTAACATTTCCTATGTGTTTAAACAGATTGAAAAAAATGCATTCGAAACATAAAATGTACGTATTTTGATTGAAAGTTGCAGGGATATAGCAACCCTGTTTTAGGGATCTACAGATTTTCAATTTGGATAAAATGCGGATTAAAGGAGCAACAGAAAGCGAGTTCAATGTGATTTTTTTCCCCAAAAAATTACAATTTAATCAAAACTTACCCAGATTTTTAAAATGCAAAAATCGGATCGCGGAGTAGATGAAAATTTAGTAAGTTACAGACAATAATCTATATAATGTCTGCAGTCACATTCTCTGTAAATTTGAAACGAAATCAAAAACAGCCCAGAACTACAAACTAATAAGAATTGATACATCGATTCGTATACCAAATTATGGCTATATTTTGTTTTGTTGAAAAGAAGTACGGTTTAGAAAATAGGTAGTCCTTATTGAAAACGACAAAAATGATAACGTTTTAGAACGTCACGGAGCAACAGATAACGACGATGCAATTTTGTATTTTACTAAAAAAACACCTGAATAAACCCTAAAAATGTTGGAGGAATCAAAAAAATATGTCACAAGCGAGTTGTGCATGTGGTACAAACAGTACAAGCAGTATTTGGGTGACAGAGACTCTGTATCGGTTGAGGACAATCTGTGAAGCTACAATTTAACAGTAAAATCTTAACAGTCTTTAAAAAATTGGAACGTCAAGGAAAGACATACATTGTAGGTGCTTCAGAGTTGCAAGGATGGATATGGAGATAACGAACAGTATTTAATCTCAAAGTACATTAAACAGTATACAAAATCAGAGCTGCCCAAGGATTTCATGAGTGGGCATTGGATTATACTGTGTGAAATGTATAGGGATAGTAATTTTTAGAAATTCTTGACGCTATTTTTTGACGTTACATTTCCGTTAAGTGTGCTCCGCGGGTACAAAACATGTTGATTTTAAAATGAAGTAAATTGATTTCTGTTAAAGCGAATGAAATGAAACTTCACGCATCAACAAAACAAATATTTGTACATATTATATTGTGCTTATTTTAAATTTCTAGTGAGTAATTAAACGAAGATTGACATCCTCCACAAAGTTTTTGAACAACCTTCGTATTTCTGCATGAGTCTTTTTTTCTGTTCACAAATTTATCTTGGTGATTGAACATATGTATCTTTATAGCAATATATATATATATATATATATATATATATATATATATATATATATATATATATATAACTATCCGAGAAGAAACTGAAAATATCGAGTTGACAGGCGCAAGTTATCAAATAAAAGGGGATCTGAAGCATTAAGGTTAATAATCTAAGGACGTCAACAGAACAATTAAGTTTTTCATTTTTTAATCAACAATAGTACTTGTATCCATTCAACAAGTCACTTTTTCAAGGGAAATGTTGATATACAAGGCATGATAAAACATCGTACATTATATAATGTCAACAGTATCGGAGAATATAATATTGATTCACTGCACATACAATAGTGTAGTGATCTAGAAAGTTGGTTAATTTTGTCTTCTGTGCGATATCAACAGCAAAACTGAGTGATACGGTTAACGATATAATAGATTTCAAGTTGAGATTTAATGGGATATCAGTTTTCAGAATTTTAAGTACCATCACATTTAATATTTTCCTGTGGTTTTCGCCTGCACCATAAATATCTGTGCAAGAAAAGGTGACGTTGAAAGGAAAATTGATGGGTTTTTTATTTGAGTATTCTCTTTCTTTCATTTGATTTAGAATTACCGTTTGTACAATTTGTTCTATTGAATCCATCGACACATTGACACCCGTAGTTGTTTATGAGGTCAATACACGTTCCATTTTTTTGACAAGGATCATCCGCACATTTGTCTACATTCAAGAAGACAAAACAATTAACGATTGCATTTTATTTATCTATCATCATAAATGCTATCTTAAATATGTAGGATTATACGCGTAATATTACTTTTGTTTAATATACTAGTATATAATATTTAATTGGATAGTGCTGAATAATATGTTTTAATTAGATTGATACTTTTACAATGTAACAAAAATCACCAATTGTGCAGTTCGTCCCATTGAATCCAGGAACACAGAGGCATTTGAAGCCGATTTTGAGGTCTAGACATGTTCCGTTGTTTTTACATGGATCATCCACACATTCATCGATATCTGAGCCAGAAACAAACCAATTGTTACATTCAAATTTATTTTAGACATTGTAAATCTTTAGATGATTGCATGATTTTTGTATGTTATTAAAGATATTAACAGTTAGAAGTATGTAATAGCAGTTGATCAAAAATAGACTTTTAACAAAATTAATTCATCACCTAAGCAAGAACACCCCCGCATCTTCATAATGTCCACAGTTATGATTTCCCCATCCGCTATGAAAGCAAAGGGATATGTCTGTTTCTGTTCCATAACATCGAACATCATCCAACCAAATCTGTCCACTTCCCTCACCAAAGTATGCACGGGAAAATTGCTGTTGCATTTTGTCTGAAATAAACTGTAATCGCTTAACAGTAGTAGACCTAATATTTCACTATCGGTTATAATTCGTCTCCTAGTTGAAGGCTAATCTACAATGGCAAATCTAACATGTAACCTATGGGTATTGACTTATCTGATTATGGCCTGTAAATTTTCTGATTATACTTGTAAGCCATTGAGCATTATAAATGTAGCATTAACTAGATCCTAGTAAAGGTTTTGCATTGAATCATCTGAGTTTTAGCCTATACACTTTACAGCCTATTGACAACACATCTTCTTAGAAAAGGTATAATTTAGGCCAAATTCAGTGAAACATCTTAGTACTGAGAATGAAGTCTACAGTTACTCGTAATCTGACATCCAATAATAACACTTTTATTTTAAAAAGTATTCTATGGATAAACAAAGGGCAAAATTGACCTTTTGAGTAAAATAACTTTCACCTATACACGTAAACATACGGATGCCTTATGCCTCAATGTTTGAGAGACATGGACTGTACAAGACTAGAACATAATAAGCTTCAAAATAAGGTCATAGTGATATACCCCGGTACTTCTGAGATACAAACACATTCTCCGAAGATGCAACAGCTAAAAGGTTTGATTGTTTTAGACATCGCATTGCTTACAAGCTCCACGGCACAGTCGACTACAATCAATTTGACTGTATAGCCATAAAGGATTAAATTTGTTGTCATATAAAGAATAAAAGATGCATAGAAACACAATTATGTATAATATTCCACGAAAAGGTTAAGAAAATAGAAATCAATTACTTTTTCAAGTTGAAAAGAATTTTCGTTATTTGCTTGCATCTTTCAGATAGATTTTATGTCTAATCATTATGCTTTTGTTAATTGCAAAATGAAAAGCATATGATATTTTTCAAAGAAATCGATTTAACACTATGTGAATTTGTTATTAGAAAAAGACGTTTATGGCAACCTCAGTTCCAATTCTTTGTGATAAACGAAATGACTTTCTATCGTCATCCTTCCTTCCATATTTAGCAATATACAATTATCGCATGAATATGGAGAAAAGTCCCCCATATTGATGCAATACAAGGGAGCATGCTTTATACACAATGTCTAAACCGAGACAAGCCGATGGAACACGGCTGTCGACGGTCTCATTCGGGTCGGTATTTTGCAAATTATATGGTCGATTAAAGTGACCGATTTTGGCAATAAAATGTATGACAAGAACTGGTGTTCAAATTTGACTGAACGGCCCATAGGAAATGCTTACTCCTGCATGGCATCTGAAACTATCAATGATGTTTTGGTCTGTTTTCAATTTGTGTTGTGCCAATGAAAGTTTGTTTGTCTGTTGTTTAACATCCCTCTCGAGAATTTTTTACTCATATGAAGACGACACCACTTGCCGGTGGAGAACTACAAATTTTAACCTATGTTAGGCACCCAGGGCCACTGAAAAGTGAGGGATCTTTTTTCGTGCCAACACGGAGCTCGTTTTTTCGGTCTCATCCGAAGGACCAGACTCTACATTTCACAGTGTGAGTCGAACCTGCGACGTAAGGATCAACTCCTCACTCCGAGAATTTAGAGCAGACGCTCTTACCACTATGCTACACGGGCGACAAATGGACGTTTGAGCTTGACCTCTGATCATTATCATCATATTTCATAATTGGATAGATTAATATTTTCCCCCTAAAAATAAAAAAGAGAACATGAACTTGCCTTATTTTTAGAACTAATTCAAATTATATCTAATTATCATCACTGTGGAATTTTGTTTTCTTAAATGTATGGGGTTAATTTTCAATACTTGAAAATAAGCTTTCAAAATATATATATAAAAAATAGTTCAGTTTCAAATTGTGGCAAATCTTCCCTTTAAGGACAGATGATACAAACAACTTTTTGCTTTTGAGGAAATTTAATATCATGCCATAAGTTTAGAAAAAGATAATTCGTGGAATATTTTCTCCTAAGAACTGGAAAATGAAATAGACTTTGAAAATATTAGAAATAATTCAACAAAGTAACAAATATGGACAAATCAAACTCAGTAAAGGTATACAGGTGAAAACAAATTTCAGAATATGTAAGCTTGTTGATAAAAGTGTAATATAAACTTTAAAAATATATACCAAGCTAAAAGAATTTTATAAGGAGGAAAAACAAAATGACAAAATATCAACAATATCACATTCGCTGATTTTTACCATTTTGCCTTTTCTGGTTAGGTATATTGTTCTACTGATAATATTACACGCTTTGCGCAAATCTTACATATTCTGAAACTGGTTTTCATCTGTAAACCTTTACCGAGTGTGTTTTGTAAATATTTGTAATTTAATTGTAATATTACTAGTGTTTTGTAAGTCTATTTCACTTTCCTGTTC